ATCATATTTCATTTATTCCCCACCTGCTAAAACAAGGGCTGTCTTAGAAAATGTTAATGTGTTTAAGTATAAACATTGATATATAAACGTGTAAAAATACATGTGGTGTGATTTGACTGTATTGTAAACAGCTCTGCTAAATTACAGAGCTGATTGAAACATATCCCAATGGCTGTGATCGGACGCTTTCTCACTGTGTTTTCAGTCCCTGAGTGGACTGAGCTGCAACCCCCACTACCTGCAGGACATTAGCATCTCTATGGAGAACGGCTTCAAAGGCCAGGCTGTGAAAGTTTACCTTAGACCTAAAAATACATATGCTTAAACAAGTCATCCTATACTTAAAACACTCTGAGGACTCTGCATGTATTTTTTGAGAGATTCAACAAGAGGAACTATTAATATGAGCTTTCGTTTCAGATGTGGTATAAAGGTTTAGTTAAACCAACAAAAATATGAATGCCCATGGTAATCTGCTACATCCCTATAACATCATTTGATTTATAAATGAGCAGATTTTTTATTTATTTTTTTTTTTTACATTGTGGTAAATTACTTTTTTCTGTCTTTTAAAATCTTTTAAATAGTAAATTAATTGGGGTTATACCAATGTATTGGTGAGTAAACAGTGAACTAGATTAAATATGCATGGAACTCCAAATAAACAACACATGGTCCAGTACTTTCTTAAAGGGATAGTTCACTTTGAAATTAATTTTTGATGTGTTTTATCTTATCTCAAGGGCATTCAAGATGTAGGTGTCTTTGTTTCCACAGTATTTTCAATTTTGACATTTTTCAACAAACCGTTGTTGTCTATCAGTCATACACTGGAGGCTAAGGGGGTCCACCAAAAAGCATGCACAGAGAAGTCCAAATTAAACATGATTTAATGACTCGTAAATGTAAGTACACATTGATGGCCTAAGACACGAAATGAGCGGTTTGTGTGAGAAAACCAACAGTATTTATATCGTTTTACCTCTTGTAATCACAGTGATCTGAATCTGTTGTTCAATGTCCAACTGAACCGAACTGAATCAGTTCAATGTTACGCCGGAAGTGATCGCTTGCGTGTGACGTCACTCAATATTTACACAGAGATTTCGGAAGTTTTACCTTTTACTAAACATATTTAGATATCCCGAAATCGTCTTCCATTGCGGTTTGGACTTCTCTGTGCTGCTCTTTGGTGGACCCCCTTCACCTCCAGTGTATGACTGATCAACCCGATCTCACGACCAAGTCGTACGAATTCGACGAATGATTAAAAAGTGGCTAATCGTAACAATTTCATACGACCTCACACGTACGAATTAATACGATTTTGCTAATCGTACATATTTTACGAATTGGCCAATTCGTATGAATTCGTACGAATGACCTACCCTGACCCGCCCCTAACCTAACCATCACGTGGGTTTAGACAAATCGTAGGAATTAGTACGAGTGAGGTCGTACGAATTAGCGAATTAGACACTTTTTAATCATGCGTCAAATTCGTACGAATTGGTCGTGAGATAGTGTTGGACTGATAGACAAGAACGGTTTGACCAAAAAATGTCAAAATTGAAAATACTGTGGAAACAAAGACACCTACATCTCGGATGCCCTTGAGGTAAGATAAAACATATCAAAAATTAATTTCAAAGTGAACTATTCCTTTAATGTCGGTAATTAATGCATTCAGTAATCTGAAGTAACCAATGCTATTATAATACATTAATTAAGTGTATTTATCTTATTCATATGAGCTCATAAAAACAAACCGTTTATAAGTTTATAGTAACTCTTAAAAACACAACCTCATTGAAAATGGGTAGCACTTTATAAGTTTCCATTTATTAATATTGTTTTTTAACCAAATTAATGAAAATGAACCAACCACTTATTTTTTTACTAACATTAAGTTTTACTAACTTTTTTTTTGTTGTTAAATAATTTGTTGGTTAGTTAGTAAAGTGAGTAAGGGATGTAGGCTACATCCAGCCGTCTATTATCGCAAAATAAACACTGAGAAGGGTGAATGACCCAGATGTGAAGTAGCCATATAGTAGCAGCTATTCACTAGTGTGAATTGAGTTGTTTTAGTTACAAAAAACAGCAATATCCTTTCATTGACATAGTGCTTAAAACTATTCTTTTGGAATGTGTGGTTAACGATTTACATTCAAGCTAGGTAAATTTGCCTTTACATATGATAATCACAGGTGATTGCAGTTTAGTAACTTCCTGCATGTTTTTATCTCGCTAGACCAGGTGTTAATAGACTAACATTAAATGCTTCAATTCACTAGCAGATATACTAGCAGTGAAACAATCAGAGGCAGAATTAAGACAGAAAATCATATTGTTGTTGTAAATAAGCTATTCATCTAAGCTGATTCATTCATCAACTATTTGTAAATAACCTGTTCAGTTGTAACAAGTGTATCGACTTTTTTTGCTTCGGCACTTATTATATTGTCTGCCTCTACTCTTCGCAAAAGCTGGAAAAACATTTTGGCCACAACTTAGGGACGTGAAAAGGGCTGTCACTCATTTACTTCACCTTACTTATAGTTAATTCAACGTTTACATACTGGTGGTTGATGTAAAACGTTAAAAAAGTTAAAGTAAATAGGATTTTTAAAAGTAAAATACTTGTGTTAGGTTCATTATGTAAAAAACAGGAATTTTACTTTTTAAATGGTTAGTTCTGTGGATATCTTAATAATATGGTATCTGTTTCTCTATGGCATTTTATTTAAAAATTTTAATCCCAATCAGAGCATTTGAGCAAAGATTGCATTGCGCTCGACCCAATCCAAGCAAACGTTCCACTTGTGTGCCGCTCACACTCACATCTGATCAAATCCGCTCCTACAGGTTGTTTCTCTGTGCTAGATATATCGTTCTCTTTGTCATAAACTTCTTGATCAAATGTCTTAATTGCAGTTGGCTTATGGATAACAGTTAAGATATTTGTGGATTTAACATCCTTAGCTCTTTAACCTAAAAAATGTATTAATCTTTGTGAGGAGCGCATGTAAGCAACCGGTAATTATGAATATTTTTTAACTGGAAGTTATTACAAGCACTCACTTACGTTTCTTATTTGGGACAAAAAAACAACAACACAAAAATAACATAAACATGCACTTCCATTCATCATCTGAGCCAACAAAATACAAATAAAAAAAACTACATTAAAAAATACACTGTGGATATTTTGAAAACATCTTAAAAAATTGAATTAGGGACTGACTGGACATGTAAGGGTGCAATTGTTAGAAATTATTTTTTGACAGAATCAAAATGGTTTCAGTAATGGTTTTAGCTTTGTTGTGTTCTAGATCCATTTACCACATCCATGTTTTAGACATCCAAATATGTATTATCAAGTATTATCAATTGTATAAGTTTTTGTTTTGAGCTAACATATCTGTTTAATACTAACAGTCTGAGTAAGTAACATTAAGCTCTCAAGTGTCTGCTTACTAAAGCAAGATTTATGACATACTCATCATATTTCATTTATTCCCCACCTGCTAAAACAAGGGCTGTCTTAGAAAATGTTAATGTGTTTAAGTATAAACATTGATATATAAACGTGTAAAAATACATGTGGTGTGATTTGACTGTATTGTAAACAGCTCTGCTAAATTACAGAGCTGATTGAAACATATCCCAATGGCTGTGATCGGACGCTTTCTCACTGTGTTTTCGTCCCTGAGTGACTGAGCTGCAACCCCACTACCTGCAGGACATTAGCATCTCTATGGAGAACGGCTTCAAAGGCCAGGCTGTGAAAGTTTACCTTAGACCTAAAAATACATATGCTTAAACAAGTCATCCTATACTTAAAACACTCTGAGGACTCTGCATGTATTTTTGAAAGATTCAACAAGAGGTACTATTATTATGAGCTTTCGTTTCAGATGTGGTATAAAGGTTTAGTTAAACCAACAAAAATATGAATGCCCATGGTAATCTGCTACATCCCTATAACATCATTTGATTTATAAATGAGCAGATTTTTTATTTATTTATTTTTTTACATTGTGGTAAATTACTTTTTTCTGTCTTTTAAAAATATTTTAAATAGTAAATTAATTGTATATCGCCTACTTTCTTTAAATGCTGCACCATCCCATAGTTTGATATTATTTTTGAACTTTTCCTTTATTAACTTTATCAATGTTTATCTGCCATTGATAAGGTTTTGTTCTGTGCTCTATTTAAAATGCATGCAAAATAATACTAATTATGAAAAGTACTTTTTCCTGATCCAGTTGATGTTTACAACTGGATTTAAAACTAATTTACCAACAGATTCTACCTTATGTTAATCTAGCTA